ATATATATATATATATATATATTCAAAATGTAGAATAAAACAAAGAAAATTTGTAGACAAATGAAAAAAAGGGAGGGGAATAATAAGTAAAAAAATAACAAACAACAGTTTTTAAAAAAAAAAGAAAAAAAAAGGAACGAAATTTTATTTAAAAAACCGGAAAAAAAATATAATTTTTGCATCAGCCCACACGATTATATCCACAAAACAGAGTGCTTTCTGATATTGTATCAATAAAGCCAAAGCAAAATATATTTTATAAACATTTTTCTTTAAATACAATAATAAAAATTCTTAATTATTATCAAAAATTACTTTTTTACATGAAATTATATTTGAATCAACGAATTTTTCTATTTTGTGCTATAAATTTTCGATTCGCTAATATTCTCGAGGGTCCATACTTAGGGCTGCTCTCCTCACGAAATTATTTGGAACATATTTCCCAGATTAAGACTAGGCCCACTATTTCGAGAGTCAGAAATTCAAATTCATCTAAAAGAAGTGTTCTTATTCAGAGAACGAACTTTTTTTGTGTCTAAATTGTTAATTGAAAATATCATCTGCACAAATTAATTTGAATATTTCCGGGCAACCCTTGACTAACTAAGATTCAGTCTAAGAACCAATCCTCAAATCAAAAGTTATTCAGGGAAATTAGATTTTTTTTTTCGATCTAAAAGCAGAAGCGTCATAAAGAGAAAATGACTCTAAGTGAATATTCATTTTAACTACAAATGTACAAAAGCAAAAAGTTCAACAACAACATGTCAACAAAAAAGTTTCGAAGTTTCTATCGCTGACTGCAACGCAGACCTCATATCTACGTCGCATGAAATTCCAAATATTTTGGAATATTCCCAGTGTTCGTACGGTCCTTGAAAAGTTTAAGAAGTAGTAGTAATATTAATGAATAAATGTATTTTATTGCGTTTGCATTCACCATTACGCTTTATATTTCCAAATAAATAAATTATTCAGCAAAAATAATACAGGTAACAAAGTGATATTTATAGGAACTAATAAGCATAATTCTGTTTTTTTTTCTTCAGATTTTATTGTTAAAACAGAAAAAAAAGCCCTAAAAACTGCAAATGGATACTCAAAGTACTAAACTCAAAACTGAACTCAAAACTAAACATACTAAAGCTCAAAGCAATTTAATCTCCAATTGTGTAATGCAGAAAAAAACCAGAGCCAAATTAACAGCCGCAGTCTAAAACTAAATTATATGATACTCAATATATATCCCAAATTTATACGAAAGTTATAGTCAAATTTAGTGGTAAACTTTCGTACACTTATTCTTTGTATTTTTTCAATTACGCATTTTTAATAAAATAGCGAGAATTCTAAAAAAATATTTTGCTGATCTGAATCTATTTGGATTTTTTTTTCTGTATGGATTTTAAGTAATTAAATACTTAAAAACGTTTTTTTGAAGAAAGAAAAAAAAATATTTCTTTAGCAGAAGATGGTTTTAACATCTCTTCGAATCCATTAATACATAAAAATATTGTATAAATAATGCATTCCTTAGTTTAATCAGCATATTATAAGAGTTTTTAGTAAATTATTTTTTCCTTTCTGTTTGACTAAAAGTTATAAAAAAATTTTAGCCAGAAAAAGTGGAATTAGTTGTCATTGAAGAAGCGTTATTAGATAAATATCCAAAGTACTTTATTGAAGCATCCATCAAACTTATGCTGTTATGGGCGGACGCTGTAAGCAAAGCTCCTACAGACACCAGTATAAAGGAGACAATTAAGTTTGCTGTGGATTACATGCATGACCGAATTCCTCTACCTAAACGAGTAAGTCAACATTTGAACTTTTTGGGATACCAGCAAGTGACATAGAGTGGGTATCTCAATCCTGATTGGTTGTTGAAACGTGGCATTTGTTTACGTTATCAGCTGTTCTTTTCATTCTATTTAGAGTAAGCCAATCCTGTCAAGTATCAATTCTCTTAAGTGCCACATTCTATATTCTTTCACAAAGATTCTTTCACGAAAATTTCAATTCTTTCGCTGTATATTTCTAACTTAACACAAAAACTGGCAGGAAGCCATGTAGAATATAAATTAACTAATTATGCATTGAAATTGCCAGGTACACAAAACAAAAATAACACGGTTACAATAAAATACATGAACAAAAAACAAATCTAAATTAAGTAAGAGACGTAGACGAGAAAAATTATATTTCAATAAATTCGATTCGTTGTATTTAATTAACTTCACGTTAATTTATAGATCTAATTTATAGATATAATCTTAGCTCAACTTTAACAAACGTCATTTTGCTTATAAGCGATCCTCTGACACTAAGATCAAAGGTTACATGAGTGGGTATCCGCTCTCTTCTTCTTGAAGTACAACTATCCAATTCCAAGAGCAAATCTATATCCTAGTTAATCTAGTTATTTATAATTGTCCTTTTAATATCGTAATAATTCCATTCAATACATATATTTTTTTATATTAAAATATTGCACAAAAAATAATTCCTGTGTAATATTTTAATATAAAAAAATTTTACTTTATTTAATATTATTAAGTTTATTTTTATAAATTGTATTAATATTTATTATTATTTTTTTATTTGTTTACTTTCAAGCCTATTTTTACCTAGACATAATATACTTATGTTTTCAACTGATATTTAATATATTTTTTTAGTACTGGCATGCACGAAAAAGATAACAATTAATAAAAAATAAATGAATAAATTTTAAATTACAGTACTGTAATTTATGTACTGAGCATTAATTATCCCATTATGATTTCAATGATTTATAAATAGGTGCATGCGGTTTTTATTATTTTCATATTTTATGAAATGTTTATAGGCGAAATTTTACTCTATTTTAACATCTATCATATTTTTAAATTGCATGAATCTGTAAGACTCCTTCCTAGAAAACTTTCTGCGGGAAAATAGCATATTGAAATTAACATAATTTGTAATACAATTAAGATTTACAATTGTTTATGTGTAAGCAAAAAATTTTAAAGAAAAAAAAGCAGTTTAATAGTTTCTCGGAAAAAAATATTTTTTATAAAATGTATGCACATTTTTATACACTTATTGATAAACTTTAATAATGTTAGTATTTTAAATAAACGCGAGAAAACTGTACACTTAAATATATAATTTGAAAAAGTTTATGAACTGTTTCATCAACTGATAAAAGAAAAAATTAAAATGCTGTTATAAAATAATGACTAGCTTTATCCGAACTTACTTAAAGCCGAAACAAAAAATCCCTTTTTTAAATGAATTTTTTTTTATTAATTTTCTCATAAATACTTGTTTTTTTTTATTTACTTATTTTCCGTATACACATAACTATGATTATTTATAGAAAAATTTTGTAACATGTTGATTGTAGATGGCGTTACTAATTAAACATTAAGTTTCAAAACAAAACATAATTAAGCTTAAAATTACTTCTCAAATTGATTGAAACCAGCTGCGTAGTCTTGTAATTCAGCTGCTTCGAGGGCTGAATCGTTGGACTATAAGAGATTGGGGGACATGGATATTAGTCCTTGTTGGGGGGTCTGCACCCCGGAGTGTCCAGGTAGGGCAATTCATTGGCCCAGATAGTTCCTACACTGTGTAGTGATGGGATAGCACTAGTTAGTTCTTACAAATTTACTCAACAATCTACATATCTCAGTAATATTCGATATTGCTCTTTTAAAAGATATATTATTCTTTTTAATATGCAATATGCACAGTCCAAAAAAAAAAAAAAAAGACAGCACCCTGAATAACTTTTGTTCTAATGATCGGATTTTCACGTACTAAGTGCCAATCTTAATGGTTTCTGGGGGTGACCTCAAATATACTAATTGTTTTGTGCTAACTATTAATTAAGTTACAAAATCACGCACAAAAGCGTACTTTTTCTGAATAAACATATATTTTTTTTACATATTTGGATTTTTAATCTTCGAAATATCTATAGCCGCAATCTGGGAAATGTGGTCCCCATAGTTTGGTCAGGAGAGCTATCCAAAGCTCGGACCCCTTAATGTTAATTGCACTTTTTGCGTTTTTAGTCATATTTTAAAAGCTAATGAAGCAATTAAAAAAAATTGCACCCACTCATAAAGCTCATTGACCCAAAGATAATTTCACGAAAAAAATAATGTTTGATAATTATTCATTATTTTTTGTTATTAAATTAAATTGAGGATGAAAAAATGTTGAATTATAAGGTATGAATTTTTTATACCATATTAATCTACATATTTTTCAATTGAAAAATCTAAAGTTTCAACTGTTTTTATTTATTAGAAGCTGAGAAAAATTAAAATTAATTATTTTTAAAAAAATAATTTGGCGACTATGAAGAAATGATTAAATGGGGCGATTAATATTAAAATGTGATAAACTTGCGAGGAACTTGACTTCGCGCGCTTAGCATAAAATTTCATTCATATTTTTTTCGCTAATAATCGTTTGCTTATCTTTTCATTTTTATTTTTTTAAGCTATAAAATACGATGTTTCTT